AAGAAATACTGCTTACTTTTTTTATATGGTAAGTAATATGTAGTCTTTCAGTCCTTTCCAGTGTTCTGTCTAGGTATGTTTTTAATCTGTTTAGAAGACTGAACTTTCAGAGTCAGGGACCATTGTCTTGTATGTACATTTTGTTTTGTTATCGAATCATAGAATGACTTGAATTGGAAGCGACCTTAAAGATTGAACCCCCTGCTGTGGGTAGGGACACCTCCCACTAGACCGGGCTCCTTAGAGCTGCATCCAGTCTGGCCTTGAACACTTCAAAGAATGGGCTATCAACAACTGCTCCAGATAACTTGTTCCAGTGCCTCACCACCCTCACAGTAAAGAATTTCTTCCTAATATCTAAGTTAAACCTATTCTCAGTTTGAAACCATTCAGCCTTGTCCTGTCACTACATGTTCTTGTAAATAGCCTCTCTCTTGTATGTCCTTTCCAGTTACTGGAAGGCCACAATTAAGTCACCCTTAAGCCTTCTCTTTTCCGGACTGAACAATCCCAGTTCTCTCAGCCTTTCCTTGTAAGGAGAGGTGCTCCATCCCTTTAATCATTTTGGTTGCCTCTTCTGGACTCAGTCTAGCAGATCCATGTTCTTTTTGTTCAGAAGACAACACCCCAGAGCTGGATGCAGCACTGCAGGTGGGGTCTCACCAGAGCGGAGCAGAGGGGCAGAATCCCCTCCTTCATCCTGCTGCCCACCCTGCCTTGGATGCAGCCCAGGATACAATTGGTTTTCTGGGCTGTGAGTGCACATTGCTGGGTCATATCCAGCCTCTTGTCCACCTGCACTCCCAAGTCCTTCTCAGTAGGACTGCTCTTGATCCCTTCATTCCCCAGCTTGTGTTGATACCAGGGATTGCCCCAGCTCAGGTGCAGCACCTTGCACTTGGTCTTATTAAGCCTCATGAAATTCCCATGTGTCCACTTTTGAGTCTGTTCAGATCCCTGTGGATGGCATCCCATCCTTCAGGTGAGTCAAGAGCAGCACTCAGCTTGGTGTTATCTGCAAACTTGCTGAGGGTGCACTTGGTCCCTTCATCTGTGACATTAATGAAGACATTAAATAACACAATTAGTCCCAGTACAGACCCATTAGGGACACCACTGGTCACTGATGCCCATTGGGACTCTGAGCTGTTGATCTCTATCCTCTGAAGCTGACAATCCAACCAATTCCTAACCCATCAAATCCATCACTCTCCAGTTTGGAGAGAAGGGTGTTGTGTGGGACTGTCAAAAGCCTTACATCTCAAAAGCATTACATATGAATTACATCCTCAGCCTTTCCCAGGGAGGAAGGAGTCACTCCATCATAAAAAGCCACTAGGTTAGTCAGACAGGACTTGCCCTTTGGTGAAACCATGCTGGCTGTCCTGAATCACCTCCTTGCCCTCTGTGCCTCAGCATAGCTTCTAGGAGGATCTGTTCCATGATCTTCCCAGGCACAGAGGTGAGGCTGACATGTTGGTAGTTCCCAGGGTTCTCCTTACAGCCCTTTTAAAAGACATATACAGTGTTTCCCTTTTTCCACTCACCTGCGATTTCACCTGACTACCAACTTCCCAAATACCATGGAGCGTGGTTTAGGAATTACATCAGGAAACTCTCAGGAATCTGGGATGCATCTTTTCAGATCCCATAGACTTGTGTACATTCAGGTTCCTCAGGTGTTCATGAATCTGATCTTTGCATAAAGTGGAAGGGACACTTGCCTGTCCCAGTCCCCCTCCTGTCATCTGTCCACTTGAGAGGTGTGGGAAGAGAGGTTGCCATTGAAGACTGAGGCAAAAAAAGTTGCTTAGTTACCTCAGCCTTCTCCTCATCCATTGTTAGCTGTTTGCCAGCATTGTTTATGGTGGGGGGTACACCTTCTTTGTCCTCCCTTTTCTGTCCTTCCTTTTCTGGTTAACCTACCTGTAGAAGCCCTTCCTGTTGTTCCTTGTGTTCCTTTTCAGGTTCAGTTCCAGCTTTGCCTTGGCCTTCCTCAAACCATCCCTGCACAACTGAATTTCATCCCTCTACTCTTCCCACATTACCTGTCCTTGTTTCTATTGCCTGCATCTTTGTTTCTTCCCTTTAGTTTGACCAGGAGTTCTCTAATCAGCCATCCAGTCTCTTGCCTTCCTTGCTCATTTTCTTGCTTCTGGGAATTGCTAGCTCTTGAGCTCTATGGAAGATACCTGTAAAAACTTGCCAGCTCAGTTCTCCTCCTGTGTCCCTGAGGGCAGTCTCCCAGGCTACCCTGTTGACTATCTCCCTTAAGAGCTGGAAGTTTGCTTTCCTGAAGTTCAGGGGCCTGACTTTACTCCTTACCTGACCCCTGTCCCTCAGGGCTGGAAAATCCACTGGTGCATGATTGCTTCAACCCAGGATGCACCTCCCATCTTGACATCCACAATTATTATACTGGTGATCGTGAAATCCAGTATTGGCTTCCCTCTAGTAGGCTATTGCCTGGCTCAAGAAGCTGACCTCCATGCATTGCAGGAGTCTCCTGGACTGCCTGCAACTTGCCTTGGTACTTTCCCAATAGATGTCAAGGTGGCTGAAGTCCCCCAACAGGACTGGAGTGTGTGAGCACGGTGCCTCCTGTAGCTGGGGCAAGAAGGCTTTGTCAATTGGCTCCACTTGGTCTGGCAGCTGTAGGAGACGCCAGCTGCAAGGTTCCTTTTGTTGCCTCAGTGTCTGATTTTTACCCACAGTCTTTCAACCTGCTCATGGCTGTTCTTCAGAGACAGCTCTTCACACTCAGTACACCTCTAGATGTAGAGAGCAACCCCTCCACCTCTCCCTCCTTTCTGTCTCTTCTGAATAGCTCATGGCCATTGATAGTCACACTCCAGTCACACAATTTGTCCCACCAAGTTTCAGTAATGGCATCAGGATCATAACTTTCCAGCATCATGGTGGCTTCTAGCTCCTAGTTATTGCCCATGCTGCATGCTTAGGTGTGTAAAGGCACCTTGGTCGGGTTGCTGGCTGTGTCATCTTCCTGGAGAAACATCCCTTACCTTAATTCCTTTGAGATATTTCCCTGCTGTATCCCTGTTGGCTTCTGTTACTGCAGGAGTCCCTGGCTCACCTCTGTAAGACTCCAAGTGTGGCCAGCACATTTCAGAGTCAAGAGCAGAGTGCCCTCACTAGCACCCTGTCCTCTAACCTTTGCTTCTCATCCCACAGCTTGCCAAGGACAAGCCTAATACTGTCCCCCTCCTGAATCAGACTTTAAAGCTCTGTATTGTGTCTCAAACAAACGCCGTATCCTAACGCGATGCTGGGCTCCTCTGTATAGCATCCATAAGAATAATCCATTTATCACCCCTGTGACAAGCAATGGAAAAGGTTTTCTTCTAGCATTTTTCTTTTCCTATTGTAGCAAGCTGTTGCGCTGGGTTCTCCTCTGGAAGCAGTGTATCCTCATCCTTTCAGCTCACAGAGAGTTACGTGCAGCACTAAGACGGCCATGGGGTATTCAGAGGTGTGCCTGCCAGAAGCCATCCCCAGGCAGTGGAAAGGCTCTGTTGAGCTCAACTCTCCTGCCCTGCTGCCTGAGGAAAGCCTTCTGGCTCACACAGCTGATTTCCTATGCTTGTTGCATATGCTTTTTCTTTACCACCTCTCTGCTTTGCCAAGTGCATTTTCTCTTCTTTCCTCTGACATGCAGTTCGTTGGTGTTGCTGTCATGGAAAAGCAGATGTGCAAATCAAGTAGCTGCTTCCTACCAGGAACAAGTAGAGAGATGTGTGCACAGGCACACAGGATTGTAGCTCTTGGATTTTGTCTTTGGATAAGGAAGGACATTAGCATATGGTGTATAAAGGGTCGTGATCCTGGAAGTGAATAATTCATGTGTGTAACTCATTCTGTGCAAATTAAATACTCCCGTAACTGAAAATTACATGAACGGTCTGTGGTACAGACCGTGGACAGGATAAATATGCACCAATTTAAACTGAATCCATGCCATTAAGTGAGTTGAAATATTTTCTTTAGACATCTGGCTCAGTTGCTGTTTATGCAGCACTCTAGTTTAGAAATAGGAAACTTAAACCTCTAGTTAAAGGCCATTGATGTAGAGGTAGTGATATAAGTAACACATCCTGAGTTTCTTCTTCTCACACGAGCTCTCCTATTTTTCATCACGTGAAAGCTTATTATAGATTTTTTCCCCCTGAACATGTTTCTCTCATTGCTTTCCAGAATCAGAAAATATTTTTTTTGCTAAATTGTTTCTTATATGAATAAATGTCTGTCTTAGTGCAGTTTTTTTGACAACTGCCCCATAGTCAATGTAAAGAAAGGATTTTTATGTATGTGAAGGTGCTCAAAGATCATATTGTACCAGGTGCTCTAGAAGAATTCCTGTGAAGGTGTTATCTTGAAAAGGTTTATCAAACTGTGAAGTGACTCTCCTGAGCTTTGAGCTTTCCTTAAAGTCTATTTTCACCCTGGACTGAAAATGGCGTGTGTTATCTGCTAAGCAGCAATCCAGATGGTTTCCAAAGTGCTAGAAATCTGCCTTTCTTGAAGGCAAAAAGGTGTTCCTTTTACTCTGGTCACTCTTCTATGCTTTTTGATTCTGAGAATGTAATGCAATTAATTGGGCTGCTTCAGATGCAGAGTGACTTAATCCTTCTCCTTATTTTGAGGCTCAAATTAGATACCCCAGCAGATGAACCTAACTGCCAAGGAGTCTCTCATAAACTGTTAATGCATTGTGATGGTGCTAAGTGGCCTTCTTGCAGTTACCTTTTTTGTTCCAATGCTGATGAAATCTTAAACTGAAAAAAATGTCATCTTCTTAGTGCTAGATGATCCTGTTGCTTATAAAATGAATAAAATTTGAATTTCTTTCAAATACTGAAGGTGGCCAGAAAGTTTCCTGTCTTCTCTATTTTTTCACCATTTTTCTAAATGAGAAGTTCATTTCCATGGAAGGTGAAGTATTGGTTACCTTTGAAACTGGAAGAATTATGGAGTCACTTCAGTAGTTGTCAGCAGTTTTAATGTTCAGAAGAATTGATGATCTTTATTCTCAGTATTAAATATATGAAGCTGTAAATGAAGAGAAGAACAATGCAGTGAACATTCTTTGTGTTAAGTTGAATCCAAGATAGTTCAGCCATTGTTTTCTAAAAAGCTATTCACTAGGAGGTGGTATGCTGTTTCTTACAGGGCTTTTTTATAAGACATGTTTTTTCCCAAGGCAGAGGCTCTGGCCTAGCACATGCATTACTTCTGGTTGGGATGGGGTTTTTTTGTTTGTATTTTTTTTTCCTACTTCTACCCCTGCTCTTATCAGAATTGACCTTACTGAAGGTAAATGTAGCTTGTGTTCCTGCTGGGAGTGTTCTGTGAGAGGAAAGCTTGTTTATCCCCCTTTTAAAGATCTCTCTTAAAAGGTCTAAAAGAATGTAATGCTTTTCTCATCAATCTCTGCATCTCTCCCAGCTTGAGAAATCTTTTAATCCTTATACATGGAAAGAAGTCCTTGGAACCTCTTTCCTTTGTTGCTCCTTATTGAAAAGATCATCTTGGGTTTCAGTCAAGTGAACTTTGGAGTAACAAATGGTAAAGGGTGAAACCTGCCCATAATCTGCAGTGTAGTAGAAGGTTCTGTGTTTTCTCTCACCAGTCTGGAATTTTGTCTGTCCAGCTCTCCACGGATTCTAAGTCTGCTCTTTACCCAAAGTGGAGAAATCTACCTGCTTTAAGACTGTTAACAAGCCTGTTTTGAAGGTCTGATAGACTTTAGTGATGAGAAGTTTAGAACCTAAATTCCTGAAGTCTCTTTCTCTTCAGCTTGATGCTAGACATTTGAATTTTTCATGACTGTTGGGCAGTGGCAGTGTTGTGCCTCATGTTGAGTGTGTCTTTGTTAGTTGCAGTGTTGGAGGTAGGTTTATGTGTTACCAATATTTCACAGAGAACAGCTCCTGGTTTTGCACAGGTAAGTTGTTCTTAAGATTCCTGATAGTTAATCTTCCACTATCTTATTTGGAGGAAATTGCCTTTCTATAATACTTGGTTTACTCTGATGCCTTCATAGAACCATTTTCTTTTGTTTACCTATACCATTCTGGACCCTAGCTGTAAACTGGGTGAAGAAAGGTACCTGGAGGGATCACTTGGATTTAAGCTATTTATATTCTAAAATTTGGGAAAGCAAAGCCTAACAAAAAAGCTCCCACATTTTGTAAGTAATTGCTTATAAAAGGTTCCTGGCTGCATAGCTAATCAAGTGGCTAAGCCAGGGAATTGGTATGAACTGGGAAAATTGTGGAAGGTTAGCTACCTTTGGCAAAAACAGTTTCTAGCCCCGGAAACCTGACTACTGTAGTACCATACAGTATCAGTTGCTTCTGAATGTCTCATTTGGCACAGGTGGGCTCTCTTATCCCTAAGCCAGACCAGGAGGGAGTTGCTGTCATGAGGAGTGATCCTGCTTTATCCTCTTTGCAAGCTGCTTGCTTCCACTATTTCACTTGCGCTAGATCTACCACCTGTGTATTTGCACAGTGGGTTGAGTTTTAGCCAGCTAATCCATCAGAAGACTAGCTTGGGATGGGGATTCTTTATGCCAGATCAGCCATCTGACTCTGCTTACCCTCTGAACCATGCTTGCTGTATCTGGGAGGGAGTGTCCTTTCCACTGGTAATGATAACCATTAGATCAACTTAGCTGTAACATAAAATTGTGCCCAGGTGCTACCAGCACTTGAAAGGGTTTTACATCTATGGTACTACTATTTTATAGTGTTGGGAGAAGAATGTTAACCTTTTGTTCATAATCTTTCTTCACAGAGAGGAAAAACATGCAGAACCTAGTAATTTTTTTCTCACAACCCCACCCTCACAATGCCCCCGCCTTCCCCCAAAACCAAAGCACAAAACCAAAAAAACCCTCAAGTGAAGTTCTGTATTAGGTCAGGGTTCCACAGAAATAATTATCTGCTGCTTCAAAAATAACATGCCTGACAACACACAGGAACAATTGTATTTCTACACATAGATCTGTATTAGTAAGGACGCATTTCGAGGGTAGGAAGAAGTGACACACTGGAGCTTCTTAATTTTTCACTGTGGGGAAAGGGAAATGAATGGTGGATTTAAAATCACTGCCAGCGGTGGTTGGAAAAGGGGTGTATTGAGAACACTGCTTGTTTTTATCTCTGGAAACAGCTTTTAGTATGCCTTAACCCTTCAAATGAGGATTGCTGCAGAACCTTGAGGCACTTACTGCAGTTATCCTTAAAGTGGCTGAATTCCTGGTTTTCAGTGACAAACTGTGCCCAAATACCTAGTTGTCAGAGCTGGAAATGTGCACACTCTAGTGTAATACTTGTTTTCATTCCTCAGGCAATGGCAGCATCTTTAATATTCTTCTGCAGTGTTACAAAAATAAGAAAGCATGAAATTTTGGGTGGAGGAGAAATTCTGAAAGACAGCTGAATGATGAAGTTCAGATTTGGTTTTCTCAGAAAGGCATTGCCATCTGCTGTGCTACTGAAACTCTGTGCTGTCATGACTCCTGGTCTGTAACAGTGTTCCTCCACAGAGAGGAGAGCCTGAGAGGAGCCCCTGTTGTATCCCAGTTCACTGCCTTCCTCTCCTGGGGACCAAGAAGTGTGAATCCCTACTGCTGCAGCACTTGGTAGTTCACAGCAGCTCTGTGCATTGGTGCCACAAGCCTTAAATGCTAAAGAGCTGAGCAGATAATATCCACATGTACATGTCTGATGAAAATGTTTCAATATCTTAAATTATCAGAAGCCAGTAATTACATTTGTGAAATGAAGTTGGTTTTCTTTGGCTTTGTTGTGAGTAGAAGTGTAATAAATTTGGTGCAGCCTATTGGTGATTATGGACTGAAGGTGATAGGAAGCACATTTTAGTTGAGGTCTCAAGCATAAAGATCCCCTCTGTAATGGGGAAGAGAGAAGATGCAGGGAAGTACTTTATGTGCATCTTTACTAGCAGACTCTTTGTCATTAGTTTATCCCAAAGTACAGGCATTATGTCTGTGCTTGCATGTGGTTTTATATTTTACTGTTTGTCTTGCATGTGGAGTGAGGAAAGTGGAAAATAGATTTACTGACAATGGAGTGTTGGGAAAGAATAGGATGTTTACCCACTTACATTAGTTGTAGCCAAGAGCACTGGAAACTTGTACGCAAAAAGCAGCTTGCTCATTCCACAGTTGCCTTTCTGTAAAGCATCAGGGATCCTCATAATCTGTGTACAGTTTTAATTTAAAAATACATTTAAGTAACTTAATTTTGAGGAATCTCTTCCAAATGTGAATGGAGCCTTCTCCGTGCAGGAGATTCCTAGACAAAGCTTTTAGAGCTTTTTGTCTGGCTTACCCAAAAGCTCACACAGTCTTTTTTTTTTGTAAGATTTCAATTGCCTGTTACCATAAGGGTGCCAAACTCTTACTAAATTTTCAATAGTTGAGTGAATGCAATCCATTTATGTGTCATTTTAGCTTAAATCTTTTTAAGCTGTACTGGTAAAAAGCTTGTTAAGATTCCCCAAAATTTTGGAGGATGGTTGTTGTGTTGGTGGTGTTTTGTTAACTTAAAATGACCAATTTTTTAAACTTAGACTAATTCCAGATGGTTGTCACTTCAGCTGTATTCCTTTAGCTTTGTTAGAAGAACACTACTAGAAAATAAGCTTATTCTCCTCTATGCCCCTGCATTTAAAATTATGTATATTTGATTACAGTTGGGCAAAAATGCAGACTTAAAAAGTATTTCTCCTGATTTTTGGGGAAAAAAAATATTTCTTCTTTCATCTGTCCTACTCTGTTTGAAAGGTCAATTTCTTAAGGTAAGAATTCATTACTTTATTTTACATAATATTTAATGGATTATTAGAACTGTGTCCTATCTTTTGTAAGATCTTTTTTAAATAAAAAAAAAATCTACAATTTTTCCATTTTATTTTTAAAATAAGCATTATATTGAATTCCTTGATCACTGAATAAGCAAGAATAATACTTCAGTTATACTAGTGTTCTACCATTCATAATAAAGGAAAGCTCTCCAAGCATGGCAATGCAAATCAAGTTAATAAAAAGTTATCTACACATAAGGCTTTCTGCAGTAGCCAGATTGGAGTAGGAATTCTGCAGGCAAAACTGGGATATTTTTTGGTGGTGGTATGAAATTACTTTAAAATCATGAATTCAAAGGATGGTTTGGTTTGGAAGAGACCTTACAGGAGCACCTTCCATTAGACCAGGTTGCTCAAAGCCACATCCAGCCTGGCCTTGAAGGCTTCCAGGGATGTGGGGCATCCACGGCTTCTCTGTACAGCATTCCAATGCTTCACCCTCACAGTAAAGCATTTCCTCCCAATACCTAATTTAAACCTCTCCTCTTAGTTTAAAACCATTCCCCATTGTTCTGTCGCTATCTGCCCATGTTGAAAGTTGTTCTCCATCATTTTTGTGAGCCACTTTAGGTACTGGAAGGGTCTATAAGGTCTCCCTGAAGCCTTTCCTACAGGCTGAACAACCCCAGCTCTCTCTGTAGCAGAAGAGCTCCTGCCTTCTCATCATCTTTGTGGCTTTGTAGAAAACAGGTTTTAAACTTTCTTCTTTTCAAAAGTAGATTTTCATCTGTCCATTATAAACCTAGTTATATAACCTCAATATATTTTTTAATTAGAGAAATATGTTCTGAAAGAGGTTAGATTAATTTCACTAGATTTAGAAAGATGAGTAAAAATAAAACTGAAGTATGATGAGTATTCATGTAATAATTTTAGAAACTACAGCAAAATTATAACTAGTTTTTTTGCCTTAAAGAATGTTACTCTGCAGAGACAAGAACTGGAGAAAAAAGATCTTTCTGTGCAACACATTATGCCTGAGGTTATGGAAGGAGCCAGAATAGTAGTTTGGGTTCCCTGAATCTGAAACCCATCCTTCTTAGCTAATTTATGCTATGCTGCTCTTACTCTGTTGTGCTCTGGCTAGTTTGTCGGCAGAGGAAATATTTTTCAAACAATTTCATGCGCTTAGCTGGACTCTTGTGTATAGGATTGTCTTCATGGACAGAGCACTTTGGCAAAAAGTTATTAATGAGCCTTCATTGTTATGGATTGGATCCCAGCCAGCTGCTTAGTGATTAAAGTTTAATTGCATGATGATTAGTTTTCATTAGTAAGCAATTAGCATTTAACAGCAGTCTTGTATTGCTAAAGCTATGGGCGAACATAAGTGGCTAGAGCCACGTTGAGGGAGAAGGTCTGTAGCTGGAGATGTGGGCACAGAGCTGTTTGGAATATGGGAATAAGAATTCTGAGGTTAGTTGACCTCATCAGCTTGTTCCTACTGCAGCATTAAGCCAGGAGGGTGGATGGGAGAGGGAAATGGAGCTAATGTCCAGAAGAGCACAACCTGCACATCAGACACAGAGACTGGCTGAGTGGATTAGCTCATGAGTTAAGAAAAATTATCATCATCCTGAAAAGGCCCTTTGAAGTTCTGAGCTGCTCTCACAGTAACATTGGTTTTCATAGACTTATCCCTCTCTTTGCCACAACTACAACTCCTTTTTCAGAATTCTCCTCTGAATTGGTGAAATTCCCATTTTTGATAGGAGAGCCCATGATTGCTTTGTGCCACTGTGGGGTAAATTAGAATGAGTGCAGGGCAAGGGCTGGGAGAAGTGAAATGGATGAGGGCAGAGGGAAGTAGGAGTGTAGCAAAAGGTCAAGGCTTCTTCACTGTTAGAGGTACAGAAGAGTGAAGAGTACCCCATGTAAACCATTTCTGCTTCACTGGAGGAATCTGTTGTGAAGATGAAATACGATGGTGATTTCATCCAGGCTAAATTAAGATTGTTAGAAGCCATTCTTCTTGTCCACACCCCCCCCTTCTGCCAGCAGTAGTGTGCTGCGACTGAACCAAATTAGGTAGCTGATCTAGCCAGAAAATCCCTCCCTCACCCCATTTCCATTTTAATCAGGCTAATTTTTTGGCTAGACTAGCTTTCTTGACTTGCAGTAAAGAATGTGTGAATACTGATACAGAGAAATGCTAGGCATAGGAGGGGGCTGCAGGCTGTGCAAGAACAAACTCGAGTCTTAAAATGGTTTGGAAGTCTGGTCAAGATCATGACTTCAGATGGAAATTTCTTCCAGAATGATACTATTAATTATACAAAGTAGTAAATAATAAAAAAACAACCAAACAAACAAAAAACCAACAACCAAAAAAACCCAGTTTAAAGTTTGTCTAAGGTGGCTCTCAAATGTATATATTTATTACTGATGTCAAGTACAGCCATCTCATTGCCTAGACATAGGAAAAAATAAGGGTATTTCTTTATTATGAAGATCTCATGATGCAGAAGCACTGGGGAGTTGTTGCTTCCTCCCCTCCCCCAGCCTAACTTGCCAGCTGGAGCGGCCTAAAACAGACATTTTCTTCCAGTTAAAAGTTCGCAAGTGGCTACAGTTTCTTCTGAGAAATCCTGACACTGCTCAGTGTGTGACTTAAATGGTGTAGATCTACTTAAGTTGTCTTCAGACTTGCCGTAGGAGGAGAAATATCAGTGTAGGGCCTGGCCTGTAATTCCAGCCCAAGGCACAAGACAGTGCTGAGTGGCAAAGCCTTCCCAGGGCTCTGGGTGTTGCAGCTGCGCTGTTTGTCACCCAACACCTGAGCTACTGCTGGCAAAAATAGATTGTATATGCCTTCCTGAGGTCTGGCTCCAGAAGTGATTGAAGCATAAGTACAGTCAGATCTTACTTCAGCCAGCTGATTGTTGTCTGGGTCATAAGCTTAACTTTTGTTAGAGAAAATATCTAAAGTTGATGTTAAAATCTGGTTATGCAGTCTTCATTTACTAGTGATTCCCCCCCCTCCCCCCATTTCTAGCTTCTTGCATGTTTTCTTTTGATTTATGCTTAGAACTAGGAGACTTAACTCAGCTGTATTTCTTTTTCTCATGGCTACTCATTTCATAGCATGGTTTTGTTGTTACTTTGCCCTAGACTGCTGTTAATTACAGCTTTTCTTGTGCCTCCAGCTCCTTTATTCTTACAGAGAACTCACACTTGCTAAGTTTCACAAAGTTATTGATGATTAAAGGCGACTGACCAGCTTCATAAAAGACTTACTGTTAGGGGAGGGGAAGGAGGAGGAGGGTATCCTAGCATGAATCTCTGAAATGGGGACTTTCACTGAGGGCTACTGCTGCTCAATGTGAAGCTTAAAAGGAAAATAAAAAAGTGGGTGGGGATGGGAGGGAAAAGCAAGTTCATGTACTGGAGTTCAGGTATGAGAGCTGTGAACTTTTCTGACTTCGTGCCTTTGCTGTCAGAAATTGTCTGCATGGCCTTTGACAAGTCATCTAATTATTCTGTAAAGTAGGCTTTAAGACCACTTATTTTGTGCCCATTAAGACAAATTTGTAGGGTGCTTTCAAAGTGTACACTATGTGTTTAAGTTGTCAGATGTTCTCAATTAAATTGGAAGATTAGGGAGTTGATACAAGGTTTTATGGTTTAGTTGCATAGATGTAATGGCAGGAGGATAAATTTAAAGATTGCTCATGTATCATTTTGAGTCAGGTCCAAAAAGATAACAAAAATGTTCTGTAATGTGTTCATTTGCTGTTAGCTTTCTCTTTTCTTGTTAAAAGTTAAAATGGTGAAAATACTAGTAGCAATGTACTTGTCCCACATGTAAATTCATTGTTATATTTAATTGTTAAGATTTTTTTTGGGGAATAACTCTCCAAGTTAAATTCAATCACTAAAATTTCAGAGTTGACATGGTTCATAACTGATGCTTTCCAGAAAACCAACATTATTATTTTGTTTAATGTCAGCTTTAGGAAATTGTTTAGAAAATTCCAATACTTACGTTATAGGTACATAAAACTCTTTTACAAGGTTTTTATGAAGTCTTAAGTCCTATACTTAAATTTAATTATTCTCTGTTTGAAGTGTTACAGTTTATCGTTGGAAGGTATAAGGATTCTTTAGTGATTATATGGTACCGCTCTTCTAAGCAGAAACTTTCAGAGGCAGTTCCTAGGGAGCAGGAGTTATGAATAGGTACCAATAAATTCAGTCTCCTGGACAAATAGCTACAAGGGTAATGCCAAAAGAAGAATTGTTTATTCTGAAGCTGTCTTAACAAAGAAGACTTTCATGTTGACTTACTCTTCTGCTTTTGGGCTAGAGTCTTCAGAAGATGAAGGAATAAGTAAGAAGAGGGCGTGTTTATGTAAAATAGAAAAAAACCAAAACAAAATTGCCTGTATCCTTTGATTTCTACCTCAGGTGAAAAAAGCCCATTAATATTTCTCTTTGATCTTGTCCAGTGATTTATTTCTAGTAATCTATGGCTCATCCCAACCCTTTTTTCATAGCATAGATTGATCCAGATTTATAAAACTGAAGGTGTGGCTTGCAAATAATATTATTGCCTTTACCATGATTCAGCAGTGTTCTGAGTCCAGAAGATCTTCATTAGTCCTTTCCCTTCAGCTCTCAGGAGAACCCCATCTAATCCTTAGATGGAGGAAGCTCTTCTGTCAGGAGAACCACATTATTATGTCTGTCCTTTAAAGAAACGACTGACACTACCTCAGCTGCTGTGTAATATCCAGCTGGAATGCTATCCGGGCTTGGACTGCTGCTATTTATATTTTCTGCCTCTTCTAAACTAATGCTAGCTCATACCATGTTTTCCTGTGTCCTGTCTGTGACAAGCCTGCAGCCACTACATGTTCTTGTATAAATTCAGTTTGGAATTAATAAACAGTGCCTATTATTGCAATGTGCAGTTTAAGCAGCACATTTATTATTATGGTTTGTAGGATTGTTTTTTCCTGATGATTGTTGAAAAATGAAATAACGTATTCCTCTCTAAACCCATTCACATTTTTGTGGCCAGCGACTATTACTTTACATAGAGCACTTTCTGTGTATCTGAGGACATTTCATCAATATGTGCTAATTGTCTACTTTTCCTCAACTGTGATTGATGATTTATTGCTGTGGTTCATAAGACTGTAAATTTTTTTTTTTATGCTGATATGTTACTTGACAGCTTATCACTAAAGAGAGATCCAATGGCTTGCAAGCATTTTTCTTTCTGCAAGCATTGCACCTTTACTTCTCTTGGATTCATCTTCTGCTGCTTTTCCTCAGTGGTAGCAACAGCTACCAGGACCTCAGGAATACTGGTGTGCACTTTATTACTCCTTGTTGGAGCTCTGCTGCCAGCCACTGCTTCTGCAACTTTCTGGGGGAGCTGTTTTCTTTCTTTAATGGTTTTCAGTAGTTTTCTTTGCTACCTTTTTTCTAGAGACAAGTTATTTATTTTCCAGTAATGTAAACATTGTACTTTTTTCACCTATCCTTGCAGCTAAATGTATTTTGACTGTTCAGGAGTGGTTCTTCAGACCTCAGTTTAAGAATTGGTATTCTTAGTAAAGTGCAATTTGGATGGAATGCTGTCACAAACGTTTGTTGTTTTAAACGGTCATTTTCACATTCCTACTTCTTTCACATTCATCTCCCCACCTCCTGTTTTCTTACACTTCAAACATAAGGTGCTCATCATTATTTCAATCTGCCTTTTTCCTGCTGCTTTTTCTTCTTTCGGTTTCAAGAACTTAAGATTTGCTTCCAATCAGTACACCCTGGCTAATTTTATAATTTCCTAAATTAAGTGCTTCACTTTGAAAACTCTGCACATTTACCTTTGTTTTTTTTTTCATTTGAAGAAACTGCATTTCTTCAAAGCCCTTCTTGTCTGGGATTTGTGCTGAATAATTGGATATGCTTAGCCTGCTGCTGAGATGGACTCTGCCCAACGCTGCTGGCTCAGTCTCCCCGTTCCTATTTCATCCCATTGCATCCACCAACGCTTTGTTCTCTTTTACCGAAGTGTCTCGCACAGTGGGGCTCAGTTTATGATGAAGGCTTGCAAGGATTATTACAAGTAATGACAAATGGTGTCTTTCTGTCCAGTGTTACAAGTCTTTGAGTCTTTGACGGGTGGGTTTGTGCTGCACCCATTTTCCTGTCAGGTTGCACAGATATGGAATATCTTGTCAAAATATTTTCCATTTAGAGTTTGCTTTTATCAAACATATTTCCTAATTTTTAAGCCTTTATGAAGATTTTGTTTCTGTTGTATCTACTGCTCCTAATAACATAGTGATTGTGTCTTTAATGAACCAATCTTTTTTTTTTTTTTTGAGCCTTTTAGTAAATACTCAGCATCATCTCTTCTTTCATTAGACAAAAGCTGGTTCTGTTATGCAGTTTGCCTCTTGAAAACCTTGAATTTGTGTTTTGTAGTTTATGTCAGGTTTTTTCTTTTTTTATATCACTCCAGACATTGATACTCAAAGCTGTTGCTTTTTTGCTAATTAATTTATCCAAAATCTCTTCAATTATGATGGCAATGTTGTTTTATTTTAAGGTAACTGCACTTTGTTATTTTATACTGTACTTGGTAGGTCTTGCACTAAATAGAAATTCACAATATTTTTGGATATTTCCTGTAATCATTATCCAAGATGGCTGGGAAATAAATCTAGTACTGGTAGAAAAATCCAACTGGAGTAAATGCTCTCTTGCTGATTGTGCTGTTCCCACAACTCCATGTGTCCTTATCACATAATCACTGCTTGAAAATTTGAATTTCTTTTTCCTCTTTTAAGTCTGCTTTTCTATCTTTCAGACCTTTTTGTAACTAAATTGCACTTATTGTTGCATGTTTAATTCCCCAAATGAGCAGTCAAGATAATATAAACTATAAATTTTTCTGCTACACATGCATACTTCGGCAAATTCAAATCCCTGTACTTACAAGTGGTTTTCTGAAATGTTTCTCTCATTCAGGGTGGCTCTTTGCATCAAAGGAAACATGATTTACAAATTGCTTGGCTTCTTGGACTTGGTAGTCTATGTACTATTTTAATATTCCTTTTAAAATATAAAATGGCTACGTAGGTATATACTTAGCCTGTTTAACTGAAATTAAATTTGCTTTTGTAGCACCATTTAAAATTACCAGTTTTGTTAATTTTGCTGAATCTGTTTAGTTTGCCCTGGTTGACTCCTGAAGGACCTAATCTCTATTCTGGTTCAGTTACACTGGGTCTTTATTTCATTTGGGTTTTTTCTCCTTCCATTGTGTGGAAGAGGCAGGAAGGGTTCATCCCCCTCCAAGTCTTACTTCAGAGACTTCAGCAGTCTCATGTATTCATGCACATGTAAGCCTTTGATCACTCCACCAAGTGAACAAAACAGGCTTGTAAGGAGTAGTGAACATGAATTTATCACTTAGGTTGAATTTCAGTCTTTTATAAAATGTTACAGTTTATCTCAGCCTTTCTGTTCGGGAGGTAAAACTGAAGAGTCTTAAAAACTTGTAACCGTACAGTATTTATTTGGTGCCTGTGTTCTTGTTGATAGTCATGGGGGGTTTTTGTTGTTCATTGTGGAATTTCACAATCACATCTCTTGGTCTTCACAAGAACTGGCTTTCCAGACAGGTGCAAAAGTACCTTTTGTTGTGGTGTCCTTTCTTCAGCAATGGCCGTATATTTACCACTTCACTGCATGTCTTCAGAGATTTGTAGTAAATGAGGCATGTGCAGAATGATAGTTGCATATTTTCTCCCTCCCTTCAGCAACCACAGCTTTTGAGTTGTAGCTTTTGTATCCCTGTGTTTGCCAGGCAGAGGCATACCTATTCTTGGTGAACTTGTCTAATCTGTTTTTGAACTTGCTTATCTTTTTGCCAGTGCAGCATTCTTTGGCAATGATTTTTAGTTACTTGAGTGAAGAAAAAAAAAAGCAGGTTTAAGTTGCATTTAAACCTGCTCTTCCTTCTTGGAAATGGCTAAGAGTCATTCCCTTATGTGCATCATACTGGATTTTGTAGGTTTCAATCACCCTTCAGTTCCCTCTTTTTTGGAAAATACTTAGACTTCTCTTATATACAAATTCTTTACATTCCTAGTTATATCTGTGGTCTGTCCATTTTTGTTTCTGATCAGTCCTCCTTTCTTAAGAGGATCATCAGAACCACACACAATATTATGATGTCAGGCGACTACAGGAGTAACAGGCAGACATAATGAACATTTGAGTTTCATTATGGATTTCTTGATAACTTTTTATGTTTTGGCTGTCCTTTTTTGTGCTTGCAGGGACTGTATGATGTTTCTGTCTAGGATGACTACTAATACCTTCCTATGAGTAGTAAAAGCTAATTTACAATCTGTCATCATGTATATGCATAGGTGAAAATATTTTTACCACATACATCACTTTGCACTTAACAGTAGTAATTTTCATCTCCATTTTATCATAGTTATCCACGGTTGTGAGATGGTTTTGCAGCTTTTTACTATCAGTTTGAGGTCTGGCTGCCCTGGATAATTTTACAGACTTCACAATATTTTGCATCTTATTGTTCACCCCCCTTTTTGAGAGTCTCTGTAAGTGCAGTTGAATAGCTTAAGTGTGTATAGGACTTTAAAATCATTTCTGGCAAACCATTCTTTGTTAAAACTAAATACTTATTTCTGTTTTTGTTGCTTTCTATTTTTCCTTCTAGTTGAGTGTAATAAAATGCTCTGTTCTTAATTTCAAGTGCTTCTGTTCTAGTGTAATCAATTTCGTATGTATTGAATAGGATTTTCCATTTTTAAGACATTTTCCAGCTCTTGGATTTCTTGTGGTTTTTTTTTTCCTATGCCATCCATTTTGAGCTGCAGCTTCCCTTTGTGCTTCAGCAGCCTGTGCAGCACTGCAGTTCTAACTTTTCATTATGTTTCCCAATGCAGCTTTATTAGTATGGCATCCTTCAGATCATTGATTTGTCTGTTTGCTGAAATCTTGGAATCTAAATTTGTCCATAGTTTCTTAACTTGGAGACAACTGTCCAGTTTTACTTCTGGACTGTTATCCTTTATTATTTATTTGATTTGCTTGCTACAGGCGTGTATCATCATTGGCAAGAGATGGCTTTTTATAATGCAAGTTTTAAAGATTTTTATCTTTTTAATTGTGGAGTTCATTTTACTGATATACTGTGCCTGGTTTTTTTGATAATTTAAAATTGTTTGTCAGGAAATGTAAACTAATAGTTCTGTGTCCTTCGGTACTGGTGGTTATCTCTAGCCCCAGTCACATAAACAATTTTTTTCATTAACCAGTATCTGCACATCAGAGTGGAAGTACTCTTTTCCTCTCCTGTTTCCTAAAAATGTCTCCCCGCCTTGCTTTTTTCATCTTGGTCCTTTTTTGCAGAAGTCTTTCAAAATCACTTATATCTTTCTCCTGTAGTAAGCAGTATATATATGTGTATATATACACACACAGAAACACTCTTATTTATTTTTATTTTTTCTTATAGCTTTTTGGAATAAGTTGACTCTCTACATCCCACTTTCCAGGAAAGAGAATGTGGCTGCCTGCTGTTTCTGTTGCCCTTTCGCCTGGATATTAAATCCAAGCCTCTGCCGAGCCTGCCAACTGTTTAATCAGAAATAGTCAGAAGGCCCTCCTTCCTAATATTGCAGCTGACTGTGAAGTCTTCATTA